TTTGTTTCTTTGGTTCTGATTGGTTTCTAATTTGTGTTTGAATGTAGAAACCAAAAGAAATTGTTCGAAGGATTTCTGATGAAGATCTTGATGATGATGGAGATTTTTTTCAGCTTGCAAGTGAAAGCAGTGAAAAATCAAACAATAACTTGAAGGTATGTTGATGAGGTATCTATGGTTTATGCTTTTTGTTAATTATGTTGTAGTTATGAATGAACTTTGAAATTTTAACATCATTTTCGTTCTACTTTAAACTTAACACAATCATGCATACTTAATTCATCAAAATTAACAGGATGGAATAACATCATCTGTGCCATTTAATTATTAAGAGGCGGAACTGATGACATTTACAACCTGTGTAATAAGAGGACTCTGTTTACTCCCAAAATCTAGAAAATAAAATAATACCCTTTTTTTGCTTGATATTCCATTTGAACCAGCTATGCATGCTTCCTACATGCTCAAAGCCTTTTATCTTTTCTCGATGGATTGTGCAGTCTTTTTATCTATATCTTTGTATTTTCTGCTACCATGTGAGTCTTTGTTGGAGTTCTTTCCTCACAAGCAAAGATGGCACATCTTTTTTGCTAATTTTATGTCTTGTATTGGCAAAGTTTTGAAAGTAATCCATGAAATGTAAATTTCTGAGCTCATGCTTTCATGTATGTGCATTGCAGAAGAGAAAGGTTTCTGAAGAAATTCCAAGTAAGCCAACAGATTCTTTAACAAAAGACAGTGTTGACAGCTCCAGCAATAGAGGTATGCCGTGATCATTTCGATAGTCTGTCTTCTTAATAGATATGTTACTTATAAGGCATCATGCACTGGTTATAACAGAGTCATATGAAAAAAAGAGCAGTGGAAACAATTTTAAAGTTTTACCCAATCCAATAATTAACTTTAAAAGCAAACCAAATAAATTTTTAGATTATAAATAAGACCTATCATATACAAATGGAATTCCCAAATCCAATAATTAACCCCAAAAACAATATAAATGAAGTTGTACATTAGTACCATATAATCATATTCTACTCAGTTTTTTTAATTTAACTTACCTTTGAAAATTTTAGGATTTTTTTTATGGGTTTCCTTAGGTTAGGAAAATTATAATTGTATTGAACAAAAAATATTATTAATAAATATTAAAACTATGATTATGAAAATAAAAAAAAGTATTGGATCCGTTTGACACACCGTTCTCTCACTATTCTATCCTAAAAACAAAAAATGTATTTGTTTTAATATTCTTCAAAATTCAATCATATTCTATTTAACTTAAAATATTAACAATTACCTTTCTCAATAAAAGTTTTAAAATTAACAAAAACACCCCCTCCCCCCAAGCACTATCACTCGCCAACAACCATTGTTGATGCCGCAATGCCGCAACGACATACAACCAGCTAGATCTGGCCAGTCGTGCACCTATCTATCCATTTTCGACAAGATCCATCATGGATTTGACAAAAAAGGGCCAGATCTATAGCCAAAGATCTGGCTGTTGACGACAGTCATATATTGGCAGTCATTGATGGCCAAACGACGGCCAAACTATGGCCATATCTGTCTATTGTTAACGGCCATATATCTTAGCCGTTGTTTGGCCGTCAATGGCTTGATTTATGGTCGTAGATCTAACATTTTCAAGGCAGATTGGTGCATGCTCGATCGAATCCAGCCAGTTGTGCACCATTTCAACCACCTTCCGATGGTTGTGGCTGGCTACAGACATTATGTGGGTGGGTGGAGATGTTTTTGTCAATTTATAACTTTTACTGTTGGGAGTGTTTAGTTAAAGTAACAAACTTATGAGGTTAAAAATAATCTAAATATTTTTAGAAAATGCTATTCGGAAATGTACAAAAAACTTCTTAGAATTCTATCCTACTTTCCAAAAATGCAATTTACTATAGAATGCTATTCTAAATAACTAACCAAACGGAGACATTAATTTTTCAATTTTGCCCCTCCTAACTTGAATTATTGGCTCTCCCACTAAATATAGTTAAGTAAGACCAAAAAAAAAAAAAAAAAAAAAGCCACATAGATTAAAATAGGTTCAGATACTTTGAAGAAAAAATTTATATGTGAAGAAACTAAAAACTTACAGTTTTGTATAACTTGTAGCCTGATGTATCCTATTACAAATCTTCTTCCTCCATTAAACTATTTTTTTTGTTCTAAGAATGATTTGAATAAAAAAAATAATTGCGTTTTATGAGATAATAGTGGGATATCAAAAGTATTTGTGTACGATAGAAAATTAATGTTAATTTTAATAATTTAATATAGGGATAAATTTATCGTTATAAAATTTATTAACAATTAGCTCTTTGGTCCATTAGTGGGATGTCAATAGATCCACTAGTTTTTTTTTTTCTCTTTCAATTCAAAAATCTGTTTCTAATTTAAAAAAAAAAAAGGTCAAATTTAAATCTTTAATTTATATATAACCGAATTTTTTTTTATAAATATTTTTCATGAAAATTGTTAAAATTTTCTATTTTCTTGAAATTGTAAGTCTATTAAGATGTGTATATGGGAGTTTCAATAGGGGAGAGTATCTCTAAATACACCCACAAAATATACTAAGAACACCTCCTTTCTCTCTCATCATATTTTTGTCTGTTCTAAGCCCAAGCCCAGATGTGGCCATTGATTGTAAAACATTGAATTTGTTATATTTTACAATATTTATATTCGATTGATAGATTTAATGTTTTATATAAAAAATTATATTCGTGCATATATTATATATTATATATTTTTTTTTTTTTTTTTCTAAACTAAATTTCTGCAGAATTTAAAACTGAAATAGAGTATAAGAAAAGCAAAGGTGTTAATAGAAAGAGAGTAAGGGACTAAATAATTTCGAGCCACGTGGTAATATTTTAATTTTTTTTTCTGAGTACTACTGGAATCTATGAGTAAGTTTGAAGCATTTGAAATTTATTATTAATAATTTGTTTGATAAATTAAATTTATAAAAATATTCAAATGAACGACATTTCAGTACGACCTACAATAAAACATTTTGCTGACCAAAATTCAAGCAATTTCCTGAAATAAGGATGCAAGTTAACAGTGTAACTGTGTAAGCCTTATCTATAGTATTGTTCAATAATCAAAGTTCAACACAATATTTTATTTAAATTAATTAATTTACTAATATTTTGGAATATCTAACATATCTCACAAGTATTTTTTTTTTAAAGAGATTCTAATAGTATTATCTAATTTAAAACATCACAAATGAGTAGATAAAAAGATTGAAAGATTCATAAATATATATTTATATAATAAACTTTTTATTGTGTGGCGTGGACATTGGCTATAAGACAAGTGTACTAATCTGCCACAACGGTCTCAACACTCATCTTATCACTTGAGCTATCTAAGGGTCTGCTTGAGAGTTTTATGGTAACGATTATGAGGGTAAACCATCGTAGCGGTTTTGAGGGTAAACCACCATAGAGGTTTTGAGGGGTTTTTAGTAGCAGTTTTGAGGGGTTTTTAGTAGCGGTTTTGAGAGGTTTTTAGTAGCGGTTTTTAAAACATCCAACCTGTGTTTGGAAGTTTATTTTCTAACGGTTCTGACAGTTTTTTTAAATGATAAATTTACATAAATAATCATAAAGTTAAAACACTCTCTCTTTTGCTTAATTAACTTTGAAGTTATAAATTTGACTTGCATGTTTTTAACTACTCAGTCTTGTGAAAAAGGTTTCTTTACAAAGTTGTACTTATGTTTCTTATTTAAGACCTGATTTTGGGTTTTACTTCCATTATCATTAGTCTGTGTCCAGATTTAAGTGAGTTTTGGGTTATCTGATTTACTAAGAATAGAAGACGCTATAATTATCAAATTGGAATGTTGGACATAGTTTTGACTCATGTGAAGAATAATAGCAAGCAAATAAAATTTGAAAAGAAAGGAAAGATTGTAAATTAATTTAAATGGGAGAAACAGATTGCGGTCAGATACTGGACACGGTTTGCTTGAGAGGCGTTGAAAATGATGGTTTTTAAATAGCTGGTGAATTGACAACTTTTTCTTTTCAAGTTTTGAGAAGATATAATAGTTAATACTTATTATTATTGAAAGGATTTTTTGAGAAAGAAACTACACTGGTTTGGTTGACGCCTAATACATTATCAGAAACCAAAATGCCTAATTTGGTTGACGCCTAATTTGCTGAAAGTGAGAAGAATCTAATACAAACCCAAACGAGTTGTGTGCAGCAAAGGGATTTGTGTGTAGCAAATTAAAACCATTCACTCACTTCGTGTGCAACAGTAAGAGATTTGTGTGCTAGAGAGAAGTCAACAGCAGCGATAGATTTGTGTGCAGCAAAGGGACTGGAAAGGGGTTTTTTTGGGATAAAAATTTTAAACCAGCTAAAACACCCAAATTTAGGGTGTTTTATAAACCCCTTAAAAATACACTACACTGGTTTTGAGGGGTTTTTAAATTAGTCAAAACCAGCCTATTAAAAATCTGGCAAGTGAAGGTTTTTAAACGTCTTAAAAGCAGTCTAATTAAAAACCCCCTAAAACCAGTGAAAAAAAAAACTCCCAAGCAGACCCTAAGGGTGAAAAAATTTGAATGTATCAATCAAACTTTATTCATTAATAGTTCGCATCATAGATTAGTAGTCAGTCTTTGTAATTGTATATGAAAAATTTATTATATTATATTTGAGAATTATATATGTATATGCAAAAAATTCAAGGATAATGTAATAAGTATTAAAAGTAAAATAATTAAATTCAATATTTTGTCGTTAATTAAACTTTTATTATTATCATTAACTTTACAAAATTGTATCAACTCCGATCCAATGAATACTCGAGTGAGCGAAGATCCATACCCGCAGGAACCGTTCAGTTTTCTTTCAACATATTCTTACACTTCCGTGCCGCTTTAATTTGCCAATCGCATATTCGTAATCCTATTTTCTCTTTTTTCTTCTTTGTATCTTCCTCCTCTTTATTTTTTTTTTTAAAAGAAAAAGAAAAAGAAAAAAAGAATCTTATACACGTTCCCCTCTGATTTTGCCACCTTACATTTCATAATTTATTTTATTTCCTATAAATTCCTCTCGCTCACACCAATCTTCACACTTCTCTCGTGAACTCCTCGAAGAATCTCAAATTCTCTGTACAAACATGGTGAAGTTTAACGTCACTCGCAAGGAGACTTCGCCTATCGACGGCCAGAAGCCTGGCACTTCTGGCCTCCGCAAGAAGGTCAGTTCACTCTTTATTTTCTCGACTCTCGATGTCAAATCGGATCTTGTTCTTTTCTTGATCATCATCATAAATCTTCAAACCTGCTTAATGGTGATCGATTCTGTTTGGTTCTCGTTGATTCGGATCTCGTTTGTTGTTAATTTGAGATTATATGAAGTTCGCTCACTTGAAGTTGAAGAGTTCTACGTGTTACATTATGACTAGTGATTGATTTAGATATAGCAGTGGACTAAGTTACTTAAGTGTAGATATTTCACTTATTTAATGAAGTGGAGTTATTAATTAATTGACTATCTAGATTTTTAAGTTAAACAGATGTTACTTAGCTAGATTTTTTCTTAAGTGTTGTACTGGATCTTGTTGCTATGTGTGATCGTCATGTTGATCCTAGCTCAAGTTGTTAATTAACTCAAAACGTTCACATATAAGTTTTTAGAGGGGGACTCTGGATGTTCTGAGTCATAAAAAGTTAAGAATCTGATTCTATCTGATGCATTTTCAAATGCATTAATGCATTGATGCATCAAACTGAGACTCTTGGCGCTAGTGTCTTTACGAGTGTCCCGGGATTTTACGTTTAACATGATCCATTTATAGGAACCAATATGATTGGATTATAATTTAAGATATTAGAGCTATAAGTTTTTTTAGTCTATTTGTTTTCCAAGAATGTTCCCTATAAAATTGCTGTTGTTAAGATGGCTTTTCCTTGCATTATTTTCTAATGTGTTAGCTGGATGTTTTAGGTGAAAGTGTTTAAGCAACCAAATTACCTGCAAAATTTTGTTCAGTCAACATTCAATGCCCTTACACCAGAAAAAGTTAAAGGTAAAGGTTTTATCCTAAATGGGCTTTATGCATGCTTATTAAGATTCTTGTATTTCTGTTCATATTTAAATTTCTATATATACGTTCAGATCTATAGTTTGAATAATGAAGCCTAGACTTGGAAGTCAGGCTCAGGGTAGTCGTTTAACAGTGATTATTATTATTTTTTTTTAACAAAAATACTTATGTAAACCTAATGATGATGTGCATTTAGTTGTGTATTCCAGTTCCAGAAACACATCATTAAGTGTAATGGTTACTTGATATTATTGTATGCTGCTATACTTTGTAAATGTACTCAACTTAGTGAATATTTTTTCAGCTTCTTTAGAATAGTTTACTTCAGATACTCCATTCTTACTCCTAAAGGAGAATTGGGAATTTTCAATGGAAAATTCCAGTTCAAAATTCAGTTTCTGGTTTTTGATTTTATAAAGAATGTCACTATTCATTTTTATCACTTCTTTTGAATTTGTTTTTATATGTGTGTGTGTGTGTATTCGAATAAACTGATTAGAAGTTATTTCAGTGAATGATGATAACTAGTAAGTTACTGTTCATATGCATAGGTGCTACACTTGTTGTTTCCGGCGATGGCAGATATTACTCGAAGGACGCCATTCAGGTACCTGTACATCTTGTGTCAAAATAGACACAGCATGTGAAATGCCATCTCTTTTTGGTTTGTTGTATGTTTTTTTATTATCCCTGTAATGTCCTTTTTCCTCTCTCTCTACTCAATCATGTGATGCAATGCAATACAATTTTATCCTTGATTGTGTTATTATTATTATTTTTGAAATTGAATGACATGTAATTGGGCAATGAAAAACACTTCTGGATGTAGTAGAAGGCTAACCGAGCCTAAGGGTGCAATTGGGAGGGCTTTATAGGATGGGCTTTTGCTTGGTAGTGCTTCTTGCAAAGTCACTTGGTAACACTTTGCAAAATACCAACTGATGGTTCCTTTGAAGTGCTTTTGTTTTCTTCAGCCTCGCATTAAAAAAGAAGTGGTATAAAAAAAAATAAAAAAACTTTTGTATGTATGGAATCGCCTTTGACAAAGTGAAGTGATGGCTGAGCCTACCTGAGTGTCAAAAAAACATGTATTAAGCGCTTTGATCATGAAAAATGTCTGGTACTAGAAAGAGGTGTAATATATTTTCTTGTCCTTGAATAAGATAAGATTCAAATTATCCTTCAATCACCAGTTTGTTTATTATCCCAGGGCAGTTGGTGTACTAAATGTTTACTTTTGCATATAGTTCTTGTGTTCATATTGAGGGTGTTCTATCTCCACCACTAGACAAAGATGTAGATGGTAATATTTGTTAACTTGATGATATAACCTTGAGCTACTGGAGAATATGTCTGATTACAGAAAGCACCTTTCTTGCGACCTAACTGAAGCATTATCATCTATGCAATTATAATTAAGAATTTGTCTATGCTAGGATTTTGCTTTTGGTGGGATATATTATGGATGGGGTGTAATGCTTTTTATACTCATTTCTTTGGCATAAATTTTTATTGCTTGATTCTTAATGAGAATGTCATGTTCACTATTTCTAAAATATTTGTCTGATTTGCAGATTATAATTAAGATGGCAGCTGCAAATGGAGTACGACGAGTATGGGTTGGTCAAAATGGATTGCTTTCAACTCCTGCTGTATCAGCTGTAATACGTGAAAGGGTTGGGGCTGATGTGAGTTATTTTGTTCCAAAGTTCAACATCAATTTATTATCTTTCATTCATTTTTCAATATTCATTTTTCTTGCAAAGCTTTTTCAAAATCATAAAAGTATACGAAAATAAAGCTTATAATGACAGTAATTTGACTTATAAGCATCAATATCAGGGATCCAAGGCAACAGGGGCATTTATATTGACTGCAAGTCACAATCCAGGTGGTCCTCATGAGGTCAGTTAAGCTTTTTCTTTTTAAGTTTCCATATTATCTCTTTTGTGTATAATAATAGTCCATTATATTGGTCAGTCGTTGCCCTGTTTTACTTTAAATGTTCTGGATGAAGGAAATGGATTAGACATGTTGGACATGATAATTGAAAAAAATAATATACCCAGGTTCTCTTTACAATTGAGATAGGGGTGAATTAAGAAAATTATTATTTGATATTTCTTTTGGATAATATAAAATAACCATAGATGTTATTGTATGAAATTGGTTGAACGTCTTCTTTCAAAATTCTTGGATTCTAATCATTTGATTCTTTTTCATTTTTGTTTTTTTATATTGCAGGATTTTGGTATTAAATACAACATGGAAAATGGTGGACCTGCTCCAGAGGGAATCACTGACAAGATCTTTGAGAACACAAAAACAATTAAGGAGTACTTGGTTGCTGAAGATCTACCAGATGTATATCTCAACTCCAGTCACAATTTATTCGTTTACCCCTTCTGTAGTTGTTATCAAATCTTTGTCCTTTGTAGTTCTATCAAATATGTTTCTTTGTTAAAATCTTCTATATGCATCCTAGGTGGATATCTCGGCTATAGGTGTAACCAGCTTTGGGGGAGCAGAGGGACAATTTGATGTTGACGTTTTTGATTCAGCCAGTGATTATGTGAAATTGATGAAGTAAGCTTTTTGTTTACATTAAATATTCACGTGTCTTATCATTTTTTCAACTGTGAACTATTTTTAAATAATGCTTCTCTCTCTCTCTCTCTCTCACTCTCTGATCTAGCCTTTTCTTTCTTGATAATATTTGGTCACTGTGGTGTTAGAGCACAAAATAGAAGATTTGATTTGATTTCTGCCGACTCGTTAGAGTCTAAACTGTAAAACATTTATTACTTGCTAATAGAATTAGTGAGCATATGCTCAAATGCTCTCAAAATAGTGAGGAAAAAGAATGTTCACTAGACTGCCTGACCCTTTACTAATATACAATGTTCCATTAGAATAGTGATAGAAAGTATATGTTTGTGGTTTGCTTCTTTCCACTTTATTTACCTATTGTTTGGTTAAAATTTATCGTTAATTTCTTGCAATGGGAAGACATGATTTTTGAAGTCAAATGTGTTTGTTATACATGGCTTTTTACATTTTGGATTACAATTATATTAAACAGCAAAGATTTTACTTTTCTAATGGGATTGTGACAAGATTGAGGCATTGTTATTTGAAACTAGAAATTTAAAGTAAAGACTTCTTTAAAATTATATATTACCTACAATAACTTGTGATTGACATTATCATTCTTATAAACCTTGTTTTGGTGGAAAGAACGTATTCGTGCAGTTGCCTCCTTTTGAGTCTACATTGAGGTTGTATATCAGTTTGCTTTTGTTGGAATAATTTATATGATATTTGTCATACTGCATCCGTTGCAGGATGTTATATGATCTCCACTAGTTGTAGAATGTTCCCTGTAAAGGGCTCTGAGGAGTGTTGTTTGCATGTCAAAATTACTTGCAACAAGCCACTTTCTTTTATTGTAATTCTACAAAATTATTGTGAGAACTGTGCGAAGTGTCTATTATTTTCATTATATTTATCTTCTTTTTAAAACAATTTTCCAGGTCAATTTTTGACTTTGAGTCTATTAAGAAGCTGCTTTCATCTCCAAAATTTACATTCTGGTATGAAGCCTCTCAACTGCGTCTATGATGCTTAATATTCTTTTTGTGATATAATTATTTCACTATCTTTTAAATGCTTAAACTTCTTTTACTGTTATTTAAAGCTATGATGCACTTCATGGAGTTGCTGGTGCCTATGCAAAACGTATTTTTGTGGAAGAACTTGGTGCACCAGAAAGTTCATTATTAAACTGCGTACCCAAGGTCTAGTAAAGTTTTTTGTCAGTTAATTACATCAGTTCTCACCTATATACTAATGATCTTACTTCTTTTTATTTTTTATTTTTTTTTATGCGTTACTTCACAATAAACAGGAGGACTTTGGTGGTGGGCATCCAGATCCCAATTTGACTTATGCAAAAGAATTGGTTGCTCGTATGGGATTGGGCAAAGCACCTTCTCAGGATGAGCCACCAGAATTTGGTGCTGCAGCTGATGGTGATGCGGATCGTAACATGGTCCTTGGTAAAAGGTAGCATTTTAACTTGGTTTCTTTGTGAGTGAGTTCACTTAAATGATAATTCACGACTAAAGCATGTAAAAAATTGTTTCTCTGCGCTAGGTTTTTTGTTACTCCCTCAGATTCAGTTGCCATCATTGCTGCAAATGCAGTTGAATCCATACCCTATTTTTCTTCTGGTTTGAAGGGAGTTGCCAGGTTTGATATTGTTCTGCTTAGGTTCTTTTATGTGTGTGTGTATCTGTTTGTGCATGTGCTGTGTTGATTTCTATCTGGTTAGAGCAGTGATTTTCAATCAATGCAATATTTAGTAAATCATATAGGAAAAAAGAACAAGAAATTAACGCTGGAAGCTTTAAAGAATGTGTTGTGATAGTTTCAACCAAATTGACATGCTCATTGACTGTAAAGCCAAGGCTTTGCAAGTCAAAACCAGGCATGGAGCTTAATTTTAAGATTTGGGCTGGGGTAAGGCAGAAATGGTGCGGTTACCAAAAAAGGGCAGAAATGGTGCAGGATCCTGTTGAGAATGTGGGCTAAGTGCGGTTGAGAGGGCCCTGGATAAAACATGTGGATCATTTTTGGGCCATCTTTATTTTCTTTTTTTAAAAAAATTCTTATGATTGGTGACAGGTCTCACTACTGAAGGTAAACAATTATAGTATTAATGATTTTGATACAAATATGGGGCAAGGAGAATTACATAACAAATGACTTCATGATGATGGGACATTGGGTTTCGTTTTTTGTCAGTGAAAAGTTTGGTAACTTATGAATTGACGATTCACTGAACATTTATGCACACTGATATCTATATTTTTAACTTTCTTTAATGTATCATTACCCTTTTACTGGTGAACTTTATGTGATTTTGATAATGTAAGTTATATGTAGTGGAAGTAAGTTAGTTCCGTAAAAACTCATTGGAGTATGAATAAAGTTTATGTGATACAGTTATGATGAGACACTGTACTAAAAAAATTTAACGACTTTGTGCATCTTAGGGCAGTATAACTTGCATCTTCTGTATTCTGAACTTACTTAGGGGGCAAATGTTTTATCTCGTTGTTGCTCCTTGCATTCTCTCAAACTAAGCTCTTTTCCATCCTTGAACTTTCTGATTCTGTCTTGGACTGTCTTGGTATTCATTGGCCGATGTATCCTGTGGTGTTTCAAACTATACTACTTTAAGTTTCAGTTTTCATTTCTGTTTTTCTGCTTATATCTAAAATCATATTTTGGTTTGCTATATGAAGGAGCATGCCAACATCAGCTGCCCTTGATGTTGTAGCCAAACACTTGAATTTGAAGTTTTTTGAGGTATCCTGTGTTACAAGATTTTTGAATAAATGTTGCATGTATTGGAAGGCATATAATTTGATCATTTATATGTACCAGGTACCTACTGGGTGGAAATTTTTTGGTAATTTGATGGATGCTGGATTATGTTCAGTATGCGGGGAAGAAAGTTTTGGGACTGGTTAGTATTTGGCCTTTTCCCTTTTTAAATCTTAGTAGCAAAAACAATTTATTTTTGAAATCACTTAAGTACTTGAACAAACCTGGTTATTTTGGAACATTTGTGAACAGGTTCTGATCATATACGTGAGAAAGATGGAATCTGGGCTGTTCTCGCCTGGCTATCCATACTTGCTTATAAGAACAAGGAAAACCTCAATGGGGATAAGCTTGTGACTGTTGAAGATATAGTGCGCAAGCATTGGGAAACTTATGGTCGCCATTATTATACTCGTTATGACTATGAGGTACGATATAATTTCCTCAGTTTTTAGATTCTATCATCAGCTATTAATATCTTCATTATTATCTAATTTGTTTTAATTGTTGCTGAAGAATGTGGATGCAGGTGCAGCAAAGGAATTAATGGCACATTTGGTTAAGTTGCAATCTTCCATTCCCGACGTTAATAAGTATGTCTTTGAAAGCAATGCCTCTGTGTATTATGAATGTTAATTTAGTCTTTTTTTTTTTTTTTTTTTTTTATCAAGAACAGTCATCTGTTTAATCTGGGTGACTTTTCAATTTTGAATTTTTATACCTTCTGAAGGCAAACGGCTTTGTTTTCCTTCTATTATGAATTCTAAGGGTGTGTTTGATTCCCTATTTCTACCCATATTTTCAATCCTATTCCCCAAATATTGTTTGGCACATTATTTGAGAAATATTACTATATTTTTTTAATTATTTTTAGACCCCTTAAGTTTATTAATTTCATTAAATATCCCTAGAAAAAAGTTTAAAAATTAACAAAAACACCCCCACCAACCCATACTTGTCAGATTCCGGCAACCACCTTCAGTGGTAGGTGGAATCTGTCACAACGGCCTACACCACGATCGGAATTGGCCGGTAATTCACCGATCTGGCCTTTTCCGGCCAGATCTGGTCGTCAGCGACGGCCAAAGAAATTGACTGTCAACGACGGCTAAATCTTGACCATCGTTGACCGACAACGACAGCCATATCTTTGGCAGTCAGATGGACTTCTTTGGCCTTTTTCGGCCGTCTACGGCCACATCTGGCGGATCTAGTCGGAAAAGGCCATGTCGACGCCATACCCACTAAATCCGACCGGTATGAGTCGTTACGCAATTTTCCACTACCAGAATCTGGCACTGCAGGTGATAGGGGTGTTTTTGTCATTTTACAATATTTTTATATATTGGGGTGTTTATTAAATTAGCAAACCTAGGGGGTTTTTTTATAAATTTTTAAATTTTACCTCATAATACTCCCTTATTCAACTACCCAATATTATTCCCAAAATTCTATCCAAAATAATAAAACAAACAGACCCTAAACTTTTTAAATTGGTTCTAACTTCTAGTTCTAGATATTTGTGACTCAAAGTAATCCTTAAAAAATAATATAATTTTGATCATGGTCTGTGAGGTGGGACAAATTTCTCTTAGCTAATTTGCAAAATAATCCTTAAAAATCTAATCATGTGTTACTTTGTGTCAGAAACTTGATTTAGCTAAGCTATAGCAGTTACGACCATGTTGCACAATATTTTTCTTGGTTTGCACAATATTTTTCTTGGTTACATTTTTACATTTCTTTTGAAGCACTTACTCTGTGTTTCATTCAGACTTGTGAAGGAGATACATTCAGATGTGTCAAATGTTGCCAGTGCTGATGAATTTGAATACAAAGATCCTGTTGATGGTTCCATCTCAAAGCACCAGGGTATCCGATACTTGTTTGAGGATGGATCACGATTGGTAAGTTGACTCTGCCTTATATACTTTGTTAATTAGTAAAATAACCTTGGGCAAGGCAAAACTTTTCTGTTTGGATCTCAAATTTTGGGATGCTGCAGAAAATATGTGAAGCCAAATTGAAGTAGGGTTAATAAAAGCTAAGTTGATATGATTTTACATTGGGGAGTGCATTGACTTTCAAACTGAGGTTTCCTGAAGGATTGTGTAAAAATTTGAAAATCCTTTTTGCCTGCACAAGGATTGTTCTAAAGAGCTGCTGATTTGATTTCAATCCATCTCTCACTGTTACAAATATCATGCAAAACTGGGGGAATTTCTTCTTGAAATTGTTCTTAGAGGACTAAACTTGTTGGAACTGGAATGATGTGATGTTGTCTTTCTTATCTTTCTGGATACTGTCGCAGGTTTTCCGCCTCTCAGGAACTGGCTCCGAAGGTGCAACCATCCGTCTCTACATTGAACAATACGAGAAGGATCCTTCCAAAACTGGGAGAGATTCTCAAGAGGCACTTGCTCCTTTGGTAAGAAAGCTTTTCCGTTCTCACTGTGACCAGACATTCTTCAGACTCAAATCTTAACGACTGACATAAATAAATTTCATGTCATTGCAGGTGGAGGTTGCTCTAAAACTTTCCAAGATGCAGGAATTCACCGGCCGCTTAGCACCTACTGTTATTACATAAATGCACAGTGTTGATATACACACCAAGTTTGAAAGTGTTCTCGAGTAATAATAAAAAAATCCGGTTGTGTCGATTTCAGGTGCAGAACAATTGGAAACTTATCCAAAACTCATACTTTGTTCATTACCGAGTTAGATGTTTTATATATGTTTGTTGTTCTGGTGCCTTATTATAAACAGATGAAGAGCTTTGTGACTCAGAGCATTTCCTGATCAAAAGTTTTGTTGTTCTAAATAAATTATGAACGTGCCTTATTACTTTCCGAGTCCGGTTTACTGCATAATTCCTCTGCCCAGTAATGCCTCTAAATTTTGTTTGGCTTTTAATTGCTATACATGTGACTACAAAATTATAAATAGAAGTGTACGTGATTTAGTTTCGATATCTAATTGTTATTAATGCGATTAGTGCCCAGTTTTTGTACATAAATGGGTTGTCAAACGAATGTGGATGGTATTCCTTTTTCTAATGGAAGCCAGTTGTTTTAAGTGTTACATGGTCTTCAATTAAAGATATTATAAATCATATGTCGTTGAATTAATGATCTTGTTCAGAAAAATATAGCTGGCATCGTCCAGAACAGTGAAGTGGACATAGAGCTCAACCAAATTTTGGTCACACATATAAAATAAGTCTATTTGAGCCTTTATGGCACGTTTGGCTTGTGGAATGGTGTGGTAAGGAATGGAACTGGTGTCGTTGGCACTGTAAAGGATAGTCGTTGTCCGACAACTTGGACTTGTATCGACAGGATCCAATTATTTTCTTAAATTTTTTTTATGAAATTATTATTTAAATAAAAAATTAATAAAGTGTATTTATGATAAAATAGAAATTTTAATTCGAAACATGGGCAAAGTGGGCATTCTATCGATTCTTTGACCCTGGCACCCTTTTTTAACGATTGCGAATGCTAAGGAATCTCCATTCTTTATCCAACTCATATATAACCAAACAAGGGAGGAACTTGGACGCACACAGTTTTCTTTCTTTAATTTATACATACAATTTTCTCTCTTTCAATTTAACGGTAATTTTCAAGCTCTCTTTCGCTATACGTTGTCCACTGGCATGGTCTCATGTGACCTGGCTCTCAGCGTCTAGCCACCGACTATATTACTACAACTTGTGATTTAATCGATTGCGAATTGACTATTTAGGGTTTACTTGTCTCAATCTCACCTGCCTCCAATTTTTATAATATCTTCAACCCTCAAGTCCAATTTTAATTTCCTCAAATTTTACACCATTTATGCCATTATTGGACACTAAAGCATCATTGAACATGACCAAACATTAATTAATTTGGTTTGCAATTTCATGATCATTTCTTCCTAGTCATATCAATTCAAACACTAATGGATAATCACAACTTAATTGTGATTAATTAATGCATATGCAATCTTGATGAATGTTGTTCTCGTGGGTACGTATGTACCTTTCAATCAAGTATATAAAAATTAGTAGAGTAATATTATACATACATCATTTTTATATAACATTTCTCATACAACATTATGTGGCAAGATATGATTGACTAATTTAAAGTTAAAATTAAATTTTCACCCAATCACATCTTAGCACATAATATTATATGAAAAATGTTGTATGAGAATGATGTATGTGTAGTATTATTCAAATTAGTATGATATTATGTTCACAAAATTTGGATTTTGATGTATTTATTGATATACTATAAATTATATATGATGTCATAAGTGATATATATGTATTTATAAATAAACATAATGCTAGTATATTAACAATAATATGATTTAACATCTTAATTTATATAAACATACGGTAGATCATTCATCTGTGCTGATCCAACCGTTGACATTAAATGTAGTAAACCTTTATCTTATCATGTTAAATCAACGAAGATGACCGACTAATTTAAGTCAATCATTACCCATTATGTTATTAAACAAATTATCTATTTCTAGAAGGCCTATGGTTGATGAATTAACTCCAGACTTAACTAGATCTAGTGATATTTTATACAAATTTACTTATTTGACCTTTTTTAGGGCTCAAATTAAAATCAAACTTTTTTTTCCCATTATTATAGTGAACTAGTTTAGAGATTAAATCTCATTACTGTTTGGGTTTGTAATTTNTATGTTCACAAAATTTGGATTTTGATGTATTTATTGATATACTATAAATTATATATGATGTCATAAGTGATATATATGTATTTATAAATAAACATAATGCTAGTATATTAACAATAATATGATTTAACATCTTAATTTATATAAACATACGGTAGATCATTCATCTGTGCTGATCCAACCGTTGACATTAAATGTAGTAAACCTTTATCTTATCATGTTAAATCAACGAAGATGACCGACTAATTTAAGTCAATCATTACCCATTATGTTATTAAACAAATTATCTATTTCTAGAAGGCCTATGGTTGATGAATTAACTCCAGACTTAACTAGATCTAGTGATATTTTATGACAAATTTACTTATTTGACCTTTTTTAGGGCTCAAATTAAAATCAAACTTTTTTTCCCCATTATTATAGTGAACTAGTTTAGAGATTAAATCTCATTACTGTTTGGGTTTGTAATTTAAAAAAAAAATAAAAAAGTTTCAAGCAGTGACGGACCTAGGATTTTTGCCCAGGGGGGCCCCTCGCTCCGCCACTGTTTGCCAACCAACTAGTAAAAATATAAGAAAATAACATCCAATTCACAAGGAAACACAAGAAAATTGTTACTTGGAAAAACCTCTCCAATGTGAAATTAAAGCAAAACCCAACAACTTAACTAATTAAACAAAATGCTAAAAAAAAATGTTAGGGTGTTGATTTTACCTAGATACACTAATCCAAATCATAGAATCTATTACCCAAGTTCTAATTCCTTAATTAAAAATCGAATTCCCTAAGTTGTAAAACATACATTCTCAGGCTATATTTTCCTACTTATCTCTATTAAGCTTCTGCCCCCAACAAAATGAAGATTAATAGTTCAAAGTCTTTTAAGCTTTATGAAATTCTATCTAGATTTCATAAATCGCTAAACCTATCTCTAACGTTTGCTTAATCTACGATATTTATCCCAAGAGGCACAATCACAAATCACTTCTCAGTCTCATTGTGAACAACACACATTTGAATGGTGATCAAACATCCAAAAGTCATTAAGCAAAGAGATAAACACTCAATCATAAAATTAAAACTCAAAGTAAATCAATTCATATAAATTTGAATCATTGTATCAAGGTTACATCAAACCCTAGCTAAATAACTCAGTTCATACTCAAAAACAAAACAAAATAACAAAAACAAACTGAATCAAGATTTATCAATGAAAAATAAGCAAAAGATGGAGAAATCTTCTTTAATTTGAAGCCAAAATCTTCAATAATCTTCTCCTCCCAATAGTTGCCTTCCAAATGACGAACCAAAACCTTTTTTCTTTCATTTTTGTGCTAATTTATACTTCTTTCACTTAAAGACCAAGCCATAGCAAGCAAAAACGCATCGTTTTATTTTTCATATCTGACGCAATTTCGTCACAGTGAGAATCTTTCAGGCAAAATTTGAGCATGAAATATTCTGAATATGGAAAAGTGTTAAACATATAAATTGTAGCCCTTTAAATTATATTTCTACTCGTTCAAGAATCAGCACAATCCAAGGTCTATAGATCAAGTTATGGCAGAAATACTGAAGCACGTTCAAATACGTTTTTCTTCCGTCTCTAACATACTGTTCACGACTTTAAACCAAGTTTTCATCCTTGTCCAGTCAGAATTAGGAAAAACCCAAAACATTAAAGTTGTAGCTCTGCTTCTTAGCTTTCCAAAGCTTCTAAAATCAGGCCATTCTGAGTTTTCAAGCTCAAGTTACGCAATTTGCACTCAAAACTGTTATTTATACTCAAAATCATCGTTTAGGCCTGCAAAGACAAATTAATAGACTTAGGTAGCAATTATGACCCAAATTGTATGAGAAGTATCCTAAATCCTATCGAAATTCAATACAAAATCATAGGGAAAAATAGAATTATCATTTACAACAACAACAAATCCACTAAAAATATTCTACACAAATTTAGAGCTTAATCAGAACTCAAACAAAAATAAAATATACAAAGGTTTATAAAGAGATGGATTACCATCACTCCAGAGCCGCCTGTAAAAAGGAAGTTGGGAATTGGGGAAGAAAAACTTCAATATAAAAAAGACAAAACCTAACTTTTTACTTTTTTTTTGACCTTTTAAAAAAACTATTCAATTTTTTTTTTTAAAGTTGAGGGCAGGCTTGGGCCTACCCTCAAGGGGCCTGGGTCCGCCCCTGGTTTCAAGTGTTCGTACGATAGAGACTCTTGGATGTATTACTCAAGAAATTCTGAGTTTGAATCCCTCATCGGTTGTTAATAAGGATAGTCACTAAAATTATTACTTGACTAATAGTTTCAGGGTCCCAAGAGATTAGTTGAGGTACACATAAGCTGATCCGAACACTCCCCAATTATTAAAAAAAAAAAGTGTTCGTACGATTGTTTTCAACTAAATCTTACTATAAATAACGTCTTAGTTCGAATTATTTTTATTTTTAGAAATTTTATTTCCAAACAAAAAAATTTCCTCGAACGGTCGGATTTAGTTTTAGTGTGTTTAGCAACTTGGAGTGTCCAAATCTCTAATACTTTTCACGAATTAAATTTTCTTTTATTAATAGTTCTAATTTGTAGTCATGGCTCTTGAGATTCTATGTGGTGTTTGTTTTTCTTATTAGAAAACTCAATAGAATCAAATTGATTTAAAAACTAAATAGACTTGAATAGTTAAATCTAAATGACATGTTTGTTTTTCTTCTTTTACTTTTTTATAGTCGGATTACAAGTATTAAATTGTTTTTTTTTTTCAAATAAAAATATTTTAAAATTACCATTTTGACATATATGGTTCTTTGATATTAAATAATACATTACTAAAATAACGTTTTAAGTTTTATTAGTTTAGATAATGCAAGAAATAAAATATATACTTTGAAGATGTGAAAAATATATAGAAACTTTGATGTAAAAAAATGTTGGAATATATTTAGATAATTCAAAAAAAGGTTACGGAAATGGGTAAGGATGTAATTGTAACTAATATATAGGGGCGTTTGGTTGGAGGTAATTGAATGTTATTAGGGTTATGTTATCTTATATTACTTAATTATCATGTTTGGTTGTCAAGTAATATAAGATTTTAGTAATCTTGCATTACCATTTACCAATAGTTGTTACTGTTGACAATATGGGAGGTAATCTGATTACTTCTATTTTCTTAGGTATTGTAAGATTACTTTGATAATCTTATTTTTGTTACAATTCTATCCCTTATTAATAATTTTGGACAATAATGCCCCTATTTTAAAATAAATTTACATTAATATACCATTTCAATTTTACCCTTGTTTAATTAAGATTTTGGACAATAATGCCTTTATATTTAAAACAAATTACAGACCATCACCGCCACCCAGCCACCACCGTCGACAGCAGGCCAACCACCACAAACCACAGCCAGAAAGTTGTCAGAGTCCCTAAAAATAATCGAGATTCATTGGGAGGCTCGAGAGCCTTTGATATGGCCGTTTTCGACCATATTGATGGCTGAAAACGGCCATATCAGGCCAGATTTGGCTGGAAATGGCCATATCGGAGCCTCATCGTCACGGTGAGCTACTCATAGTGACTTTCGACAGTGGTTTGCGGTGGCGGCAGCATGGGTGGGGGTGATTTTGTCATAAATTAAAGTTTTATATAAGCGGGAGTGTTTTAGCTAAATCTGAAATATTGGGGGTTAAAAAATTAATAATAAAAATAATATTGTATTAATATTTAAAAAGTTGATAGTTTAGTAATTTAAATAACATGCCCATTAATTTATTCCCCCTAACCAAATATATTATTATAACATACCCACTAATTAATCAAACATATTTTTCTAAAGATTTATAATAATCTTCAAGATAATATAAGATTTTAATAATTTAACATTCCCAGTGATCCAATATTCCCTAAATCAAACGCATCCCTAAGGATAATGATGTTATCAGTCATCAGGTGAAAAGTAGTAAAACGGCATATTTCAATAATAAACATATGGAAAACGGCATCGTTTATCCAGCAACATTTTCTAAATCTACGGTCAATTTAACATTAGAATTAAACAACGTACCACGACTTTTATTATTAATATTATTATGTTATTACAAGGTTACGTACAAGTTGACGTCATTTTGCTATTAAACAATTACACAAATTTGACTTATTTTTCTATTAATGCATTCTTCATCTTTCCTACTTTTACAAGTCTCTTACTTCACAAACCAGCATCAAACGGCACTCCGGTAGCCGGAATCCACGAATTCCCGGCCAAAAAGTTCCCCACGGTGAACTTCCCGGCCTCCGTTGGGCTTTTTATCACATGATACCCCGGCCACTTCACCCTCCCACTAGTACTTGCCCCACTTCCAGTGTTCATATACTCTCCATAATAAAGAGTGCTCAAAGCGAAATTCCCACTCCACGGCAACCAGCCAGCGGGATTAATCAGTCCGTCGATCGTACATTTCATGAACACAGTTCTTGAATACTTCTGCCACGGCCGGCCCAAGTAGTTTTGAGTGGAGCCCACGCCTCTCATATCAGAAGCCGCTGTAACGCGAGAGTTGTGAATAATTATGCCCGTGTTTTCGTTCGGGTCTTTTCTTCCCTGCGCCGTGACGGTATTCTTCTGGTTACTCAGCGGTTTCCGAAGGTAGATGTTGCAGCTCTGAAGCACCGCCACGGCGTCCCCGAAAATGAAGTCTTGAGTTCCGTAGATGTCGCAGTTCTTGTAGAATTGGCGTTGAGAGTAGACGTATAAGGTGTCCTGGTAGCCCTTGAAGCTGCAGCCGTAGAAGACGGAGAAGTCGGAGCCTGACCGGAGAGCCACGGCCTGATGTTTCTGGGGTCCCGCCGTGTTCTCGAACGTCATGCCTCGAGCTATGAAGCCTGCCCCGGAAACAGCTGGAAGAATTTTGAAACCCAGTGAGTTAATTATCAGATAATTGTTTTTTTTTTTTTTTTTTTATTGTTTAAAGATTAATTTGAAAATAGTGTATGTTTTAATGTTACCAAAATATTGACAGAATGATGTGAAGAAAGGGTGCAAGTTTAATTATAAAATAGGTTTATCTCAATTTTATTGTTGTATTTTTTTTTTCTTTTATCTTTTTATTTGAATAAGACATGCTTACCATAATAATAATTATAAAAACAACATAAAATCAAATATACTTATATTAGAGTATTTAAATAATTATGTAGTGATCGAAATATATACGTAATAATATATAATTAAATACAAAAAAGTTTCAGTTATGTCTTTTAATCATATATCATCTCATTTATTTTTTTTCCCATCAATAAATTTTACTCGTTTCGCCGAGTATATATATGTATTTCTTTATTGTCGTAAAGTAACTTGCACGTGAAAAAAATAAAAAAAAATTGATATGTTTTTGTTTGATTAATTAACATGCATGAAAGTTTAAAGTTTGAGATTAATTATAACTATAAGGAGCAAGCTTACCAAAAGTTGCAGAGCGAAAAGTTGTTGAACCATCTTTAGCATTCTTGTTACCAGTAACAATGGTAGCATCAATTCCATCTCCCATTAACATTATATTCTTCACTGTTTTTTTAATCTCGACGTTCTCTTTATAAACTCCTTTTTTAACATAAATCACCACTCGTTTCCCGCCACTTCTCTTAGCTGCAGCAGCCACACCTTCAGAAATGGTCCTGTAATTTCCAGATCCATCTTGGGCCACCACAATGTCGCCTTTCGGTGCCGCTTGTAGCAGACGCCGATCAGCCGCCGAAATCCACGACGGAAATTCATCCGCAAGCAAGCGTCGACCGCCAACTTTCGTGGCGGCGTACGGTTGGACAGTGGACTGAGTTACTGCCAAGGAATTGCTAAGCAACTGCGAGAAGTTAGTCAACATCAATGGCAGAGATTCAAGATGAGACCGCAAGTTAAAATCAGTGAACCCGTTTTCACACGTTTGTTGGTTCGCAATCGCAGCACTGAGCCACGTTACGGAATCAACAGGATTTGAAGAGCTCATTGAACGGTTTAGCTGGTTGGCTGTATCTTCATAGAGCTCCAAACAATCAGTCCAAGCCAATTTGGCGTGCTCGTTGAAGGAGCTCAAGTCCATAGTTGAAATGAGCTGGTGAGCTTGAACGGCTTGGTCCGAGGCGACCTTGAGGGTCAAGTCGTGAAAGGAGAATTGGGTTCGGTCGAGCTTAAGGGTGGCTAAGAAATTATTTTCCATGTAATGGACGCATGTTTCGGGATATGGTGTTTGGGTGCAAGAAGTTATTGGTGTTGCGGCATGCACAACATTCAGAGAAGAAATTAGAAAAAAAGAAGTGAAAAATGAGAGGAAAAGTTTATCCATTGAGACAGAACTCGATCGATATAATTGAATTGCTATAAAGTTTAGTAATAGCTTTGAATTAAATGTTGTTATGAAGATGAAAAGGTGGGCAAGGGGTGTTTATATAGGCCACAAATTGGTAGTATTTATTTTATAATGGTGGATGGTGTTTTCAATATATTTTGGAAATGCTAGGGTTTTTTCCAACGTGACCTTGGCGGCCTGCATGATGCTCACGTGAAAAAAGAATCTTCTCCATCCTTTAAATAATTTTACATTTAGTCAATAGAGTTAATCTTATAAAATTTTTGGACATGCTATAGGGTTTAATCTTTTATTATTATATAACAATGATAAATTATTTATAAAAATTATAGACGTACACAAAATAAGAGGATTGATTATATATATATATATATATATATATGGTACGTTAATTTTGAATGCCACTGACGGCTTTGATTATAGATAGCCGTGGGATTTTGAAAGCCACTGGAGGTTTTGATTGAAGCGGCAATGACACGCCAAACGCCATTGGATTTGTGGGCATTGTCAACAGTCAATTATAAAATTTGTTAAGTATTCCTGAAAAAATAAAAGAGGTGAAAATAACGTAAATGGAAGACGAAGATTAACCAATGACTTAATATTGGTCAGCTATAAACAACAAAACATCTTGTTTCTTACATTTCTTGAGTGGTTCGCATTAATTCGTACTTGGGTTAGAGTAAGTTCATTGGATTTTTTTGTAACTTTTTTTAATCTAAAACTACTGTCAAAATCTAAAGTTATTGACTTCTTGTTTTGGTGGAAAGATCTTTCTTTTTTTCCTTTTTCTTTTTATTTATATATTTTAATTAAGTGTGTTAACTCTTCCGAATCTATAACCTTTACATTCAAATTAAGGGACCTTGAAATTTTTTATTTAGAAGAACACAATTTAATAATCTTTACAGTATTATTGGTAGAAACGTTCTTAATTTGTCTTTCGAAACCGCAATTGGGAAATAAAGAGTAAATCACTTTTTCCCACCTAAGGTTTGCTTTAATGACACTTTTCCACCCAAAAAGTTTCAAAATACCATTTTTCCGCCCAAAAGTTATATTCTGTTAATACCCAAAATACATTTCACTTTCTGAGCCAACGTTCGACGAGTTATTGAAAGCTAGTGTAAGAGAGTTTTTGTAGAATGGAGGCCGGTGGATCAAATGATAGTGACCGATTGAATATTCGTTACTGGAATCAAGCGGAGTATTAACTTTGGGTGAGAAAGTAGTATTTTAAAACTTTTTGGGTGGAAAATGTATAAGTCAAACCTTGGGTGGGAAAAAGTCCTTTACTCGGGAAATAAAATAGAAGATATAAATATATACATATATATATATATATACTTCAGAAATTAAAATTCTAATTAAGGTTTTGTGGGTTTCTTTACTTTCCCATAAATAATTTCTTAATACCAAATTAATTAATCTTCCAATATCCCCATAACAAGGTAGCAATATGTCTTGTGCATTAAATGGAACTTTCTCAATCGAACTCAGTTCCCAAAAACACACGAAATGGCTCGTGAAGCTCCAGCCTTTTGACTAAATAATGAAATTTACCGATAATAATATCAGATTGGTGATCATCATCAACAGTGAACTGATCTAAATGAAGTTGTTGGCAAGTCGTTATACAAACTCTTGTGATGCCGCATGGCTTTACGGGGATCACTTCACTTCTTATTATTAATTAATTATTTATTTTTCTAAATTAATCTTTTATTTGTTTCAACAAATTACCAACAAGTGTCTGGCCATCTCATCGCCTAATGCTCCCAATTCGTAAATTGATTTTTTCATATCAAAATCATCATTACCTAAAAGTTCTCTTTCAATTTGATTACTCGTGATTGTTTTCTTTTTTAATTTTTTTTCTTCCTCTTTAGCTGTTGCCTATAATATTTTTTTATTGAGATTGAGATATTCTAATTCGGGCAAGCTTTATTTTGAACTCTCCCTTTCGTTTTTCATGAATGTGAACATGCAAACTAGGGTTAGGGCTTGGAATTTGTTATACCTAAAAAATCAGAGCTAATGTTAGCCTATGTCAGCGAGTACCAATCAGAATTTAGGAATGTTTTGCGCCGCCTAGGAGCTTCCACGTCACTGCATGATAGAAAGAATATGGCTGTCATTAACTTGGCAGATTCAGGTTTTATCTATGAGTGATTGAGGGTCGCACACCTATCTAATCCTCAGGTAATTTGAGGATATTTCCTAAGTTATTAGTCAATGTGAGGCCCAGATTGGTGATTATTACCTTGAATTCCTCTACTATAAATAGAGGACTTCCCCTCTCATTTTTGGGATTCTGATACTGAACCTACTATCTAATTGTAATCTTTATTTTCAAAGCAAAGATAACATATGAGAAAGAGATCGACTTGATATTCTCTCTGAATACTCAGTTGTTGTATCTTTGCTCGCTGTTCGCTATACGCGATCTCTTGTAATCTCTCATATATAAAAGAAACAGTGGATGTAAGATTCACTTTAGGCATCCGAATCACTTTAAAAACCATATATCTCATTTATTATTCAGTCTTTGTATCTGATCATAATCATTTATGTGTAATTTCTAAGGATAGCTTAGCATTTTGCACATGTAAGTCGTTAGTATCAAAATCATGCAACAACAATTTGGCGCTAGAAGGAGGGATGATTTCATATTCGCTGTTCATTCATAACCTTTGATCAATCAATTCTACTTGTGAACAAATGGCTCGTGATCTTGAAACCAAGCAAACTAGCACCAACAACGAGGAAATCCCTCGGGTACAAGATATTACTTCCTTTGAAATACCTCAAACTCCCCAAGGTATTGTGGTGGACATTCCCTCAACCTCTCAGCTCGATCCAATTGTGATAAGTTACCTGGACAGGTTCAATAATACTCTCCAAATCATTAGCCCAAGGCTAAATCGGTTAGATCAGTTCGTGCCGCCTTACTTTGATAAGGCAGTACCACCTCCAAAAACGCCTGTAAGTCACGCTAAACGCGTGAAAACAGGCGAAAGCTCATACCATACGCACTACAGCGTGTAAAAAATATGGGAAAGCAAGTGGCTGTCGATGGCCAAAGGCAAAGGGCCAATGAATACCAATCGTAAAACAGGTAGAATACCTATATTTTTGCGACTTGGCGATATGTCACATCATGAGCCGTCTCATGCCACATTGCATGGGCACCCCCATAAGAGTGTGCGGCATGGAGATTCCCATTATCGCTGGAATGATGGTTCCGACCATTACTGCGAGGGAAATACCCACCAGACATGGGTCGGTTCTGACCACCGCGAAGGTCAGGATAACTGCCCCAGCCACTCAGTGCCTTCACATGGCTCTAGCTAGCATGCGTCAAGATATGTCAGAGGCTCCAGCCGAGGCGAGGAAGAGTTCGATCTGCGGTCTTTTCTCAATCGCAATCGTGGGGAGAGAACCCACATTGTGGAAAGCGATCCTCAAGTGGCTCTGCTTCCTCAAATTGAGGAGTTATAGTGAACTATGGCTCAGCTTAGAGCTCATTAGATTGAGCGAGGGCAGGCCGTTGAGGCGTCTCCCTTTTCTCTAGCAATCTTGATCGCTCCTCTCTCGTCAAGATTTAGAATGTCCGACATGCGAGCATTCGATGGGAATTATGATCCGCATGATCATCTCTATGAGTTTAATGACCTCATTGAGCTACACCAAGTTTCCAACTTGGCAAAATGTTGCTACTTAGCAGTGACTCTGACTGCCCAAGCTAAGCGCTGATTTAGATCGCTTCTGCTAGGATTTATCAACTCACGACAGTAGATGAGTTCGTTATTTTTGAGGTACTTCCAGGCTAATAGGAAGTTCTTAATGCCATTGAGCTATCTAAGCAACATACGGTAGGAGAGGAATGAGTCCCTCTAGTCTTTTATCGACAGGTTCCACAAGGAGCTTCATAAGGTGGCTAATACACCCGAAGATTCGGTTAGAAATCTTATTATTACAGAAGTCTGCATGTAAACCAACTCGTGGAAGAAACTACAATCTGAGGATGATATTTCCCTCACCCGCTTATACAACCTCACTGAGAAATATCTCAGAATTGAAAATTTAGTGGCTACCTTGAATCGCCACGACCCCGATCCTTCAACCAGTGCTCCCAATTGGAGGAAGGAAAATTAGGGAGAGAATAGTAGAAGGCCTGATCGCAAATGGGCTAATGACAATCAGAGAAAGGGAAAGAAATAGCGGTTTGAGCCCAAAAATCTTAGACCCAAGTTCCTCGTCGCGATCGCGATAAGAATCAGTACACTCCATTGAATGCATCGGTATCAGTTATTCTAGATAAATTAGAAGAAGCTAATCTACTTGGAGATCAAAAGCCCATGAAAAATCCCTCTTTAATAAAAAACAGCAAAAAGTATTGACGTTACCATAGAGATAATGGGCACCATACCGATGAATGTTGAGCTCTTAAGTAGGCTAAATCGATATCCAGAGATGAAATTATACTTGGAGATCCAAAGCCCATGAAATTATATTTGGAGGGTCACACCTCGGGGGGAATTCTCGAGGTGCTTAGGAGACGTATGCTCGAGAAGCTCGCCATGACTCTGTGAGTGTGTTAAACACGGCGCAGTGACCTACGAAGGTGCTTAAAGAGGAGGAGATTACCTTATCAGAGAAAGACGCGGTACAATTGCATCATGCTCATAAGGATGCGCTCGTTGCCACAACTGAAATAGGTCAGTATGAAGTCTACAGAATGTTGGTGGATAATGGGAGCACCGTGAACATCCTATTTCAGCGAGCATTCGAGGAAATGCAATTGAAAGAGACAAATCTGAAGCCCGCCTCTATTCCCCTTTATGGCTTTACAAGGGATCATCTGATTCCCATGGGAACGATTGCATTTTCTGTCACTTTGGGTGAGACCTACGAAGTGACCAAGATGACAGAATATCTAGTGGTGGACTGTCCATCTGCTTTCAATGGCATAT